AATTTGAGGGACGTATATGTCATTATCTGATTTGTTGGAAAAACTTATGAAACTCCTGATTTCGAACACTGACATACTTTAGGCAACTTGATAATTGTTAACTTATTCTGTTAAACTCTGATAATTGATTTTAAGGGAGTACCGAACTGTTAGAACACTGTAGCTAACGGCAGTAGGCGTTAGACTGGGTGCACCTTGACTTGTATCCCCAGCTAGCAGGGGTGGTGCTAGACTATCACGTGTGGCTGACGTGGTAGGCCTGTTTATTGATTTACGGCAGATTTTGAGTCGCCATCCTGATATCTGTATATCGGCATACGATGAGTTTGCCGTCCTGTTTCTGTATGGTTCTCAGTATCGAACTCCCTAACTTGTATGAATTGAAAATTATGCTTTAAGACAATAAATGTTTGATATACGTCTCTCGCATGTAAATATGTATTATTATTCACTTGGTCAATAGACTCATCCTTTTATTTTTCAGACTCAGGTTCGACTCTACCGACGGACCCGATTGCGTGATAGGAGTCGATCGATCTTGACCATTTGATTCAGTTCTCGAGATAGTAGTTAGTTTCTATTTCATTTTGATGTACTGTTTCGTTCCTCTTAGTTAGCTCTGGGATCACAGACAGGTTTTCAGTGTAGAGACATGTTTTGATTATTGTTTCGTACTTCAGATTTTGATTTGGAAATTTATGATTATTTATGAAAATTTTCAATTTCGTGTTTGATAGGCTTGCTGGGGTAGAATTCGTTCTAACCTTAGCGCCGGTCACGGATCCGACACCCGGGTCGTGACAAATTCAAATTAAACTATTTTTATATTTTATAATTTTTAAAAATTTAACTAAATTGCAGTTTACAATTTATTTCAATTTAAATGGTAATTTGTGAAATGTAATAATTTACAAAATTAGAATAGATTTTTCTTAACTTGTTTAATTTGATAAATTCGTTATCTATCAACTAATCACAGTAATTATATATTATATAACATATATATTTATTTAATCTAATAGAGTCTAAATCATATAAACTCTCTGTGAAAGAAAGATAATCATTTATAAGAAAAATATACATAAAAGAAAACATAAAAATATATATAATCAAGTAGTAATAATAAATTATATATATAAAAATATAATTTCTAATTCTATATATATATAAATTATTTGATTTAATTTAATTTATACGATTTATTAAAATGTTAAATATTAAATCAAATTATATAAAAAAATGTTTTACAAACTGAATTAAACCAATCAGACCAAAATGTAATATAATTAATTTATATGGTTAGTTTTAGTTGATTCAATACCCTAACCAAAAGTTAGGGCTGTTAATGGAGCGGATTTTAATTCGAATTCGATCCGATTATTTAGGATATTTAACCGATAAAAAAAATTGATTGATATAATCTGATTTAAAAAATCCACAATCCGAAATAAATAGAGCGAATATGGATCTCACCTGATCCGATCCGTTAAAGATCCGAATTTGATTATAATATATATATATATATATATATACAAATTGTACACACACAACTATTATTGAGTTTATATGTGGATAAATTTTAGAAAAAGTAAATAAGGTGTGCCATTGTCACACCCCGAACCCAGGCCCGTGACCGGCACTGGGATCCACCGACCCAGTAAGCTTCAACCAAACCAGTCGAACTCTAAATATACAAAATATACATAAAGAGCAATAATACAACATCCAAAAACCACCCGGGATCCTGTTTGAGAGTACAAGGAAGCTACTCTAGAATACAATCGGGTAAAGTACAAAAGAGAAATGCCCGTACATCCATCAAATCTGCAGTCACTATCTCCCACACTGGCGCGCTAACTGAGGCAAGTACAGTCAAACGAATCTGGAATTGTTTAAAAACTATGAGTCGCGAAACTCAATGAGTACGGATGATACCTAATCTATACATGTTGGGATATGTATCACGCCACAAGTACAAAACCATACACATACAGTGATTAGTAAAACATAACAACATACACTCAAGAATACCAATAACCAAACATCACATCACAGCACCTCACGTCACAGCACTGGACCCAAGCCTACTCACCATTAGACACTACGGGTCACCGCACTCCAGCCGAGTTCCTGGCATCGCAATCACCTCGCACGACTCAGGCCGACTCACCACTGGACGCTACGGATTACCGCACTCTAGCCGAGTTCCTGCCGTCCCCAAATCCCATCACTGGACTCAGGCCACTCACCACTGGACGATATGAATCCCCGTACTCCAGCCGAGTTCCTGCCGTCCCTCAAATCACATCACTGGACTCAAGCCACTCACCACTGGACGATACGAATCCCCGTACTCCAGCCGAGTTCTTGCCGTCCCTCAAATCACATCCCATCACATCCGCGGCCCCCACCGTCTCACATCACACAACAATTCTCACATATAAATCAAAAGCAATATACATACGCTTATACAGTTCATATCTCAAAACTAGTATCACATACTAACATAACTCATTGACAGTTCACAAAACACATAACACATCCCGAGCATAACATATAATCATATATAGTTTCCAAAACCACGTAATCATCATGTAAGAGAATCACAATATGAAAACATAAGCATAGAGAGGGTATCATCACTCACAGTACAGACGCTAAACCAAAATGAGAGTCCCGAGTCACCTAGCCCAACTCAGTAGTCCGGGTGTGCACCTGCCTACGAATCTGCAATCAAAATCACACAAAACCATCACCAACGCTGAAACCAGCACGAGAAACAGGCTCGGTAGCCTCAAATTGGACTCAAATCCCAAACTGGCCCCCTGGCACGCATCTCGAGGCAACATGACCTGTCACCAGAACCTACGTGACTCACTAATACAGAACAAATCTGCTTAACCACCCTCAACACTATGGAACCAGCCTCCACAAAACTCGAACCGCAACAAACTGGTCTCCAAAACCCTCGAACCGGTTTAACCCATCTAAAACTACCTTCGACTCAACTCAAATGGCCAAGAAACCCTCAAAATCGGATTCAGAAAGCCCAAAAACCCTAGGAACCACTATGAACCGCCTGAAAAGGGCTCAAACCAGCTCCGAACCGGGCCAAAAACCCTAATCCTAAGCATCGACACGCAAACCGAGATCGGTTCACCCTGAACCGATCACCCAAAATCACCAAACTTCATGGTTAACTAGGTTTTATCATATCGAACAAGGAACCGGTCCAAACTCCCAAGAATCGGCCTGAAAACTAGTGAACCGGTCACCCGAGCATCAATACACTAAACCGGCCGGTTCACCTCGAATTGGGCACCCAAAATTTCCCGAACCTACTTGGTCTGATAGCCCTCATCCCCCCGAACCCAGAACCGGTCCTACCTCCCAAATCTGAGTCAAATTGGCCACTGAACTGGTCGGTCAAAGCCCATGGCCGGTTCAGTCAAACCCTTCCTTCTCTCTCTCTCTCTTTTTTTTTTTTTTTTTGAGCCGCGGCTCAGCTCGGCTCAGCCGCGGCTCGGACCTGCCTGGGCTAGCCCACTCAACTGGGCCGGCCCGAGCCCAACACATTTTTTTTTTCCTGGCCCGCAGGCCAAGCCCGCGGGCCCATGGTCCAACCCACCAAACAGGCTGGCCCGGGCCCAACTGGCCCAGACCCAACCCACACAAGCTGGCCGAGTCGACTCGGTGAGCTGAGTTGACTCAGCCGAGCCCACTCAACACGGACTCGGATGCATTCGGGTCCGTTTTCCTCACCCGCATTCTGACCCGAATGCAACGTCCGGGTCTACAACAGACCCGGACCAAAATCCTTCAAAAACAAACGGTAAAGAATCACTTACCCGGACTGAAGACCTCCCGAAATTGCCAACCCAAGTCCGGCGAACCTCCAAGCTTTGTCAATCGACTGAAAAAGCTCACCTACAAGCTCCAACAAGCCGGGAAAAGTCGCTGGCCGTCCGCCCACCCCGTCGGCCCAAACTTCCGAAAATTGTCCCGTTCCCCTCTCCAAAAACCCAAAACAATTGAGGGCTTTTCTTCCTCTCTCAAAAACGAGCTTCCTTTCTCAGTTTAATCACCCAACAACCCCCTATCATCACGGCATGGGCGATTGTTCAACCAATCCACTGTTCATGGCAGGTTTTCAGTCTAATTGCAGTTTGGCCCTTCGAAATTTTGATTTTTCTCGAATTGGTCCCTGGCAAAATTTCAATCCGGCCCCTACTAAAAACAATTATTGCAATAAGGTCCTCGACCTTAATAAAAATGAAAATCCAGGTTATTACAGCCATAATTTAGTTTATAGAATTAAACAAATTTCGTTGCATAAAATGTTTTAAATAGAAATAAATAATTTATATAATATAATTAATCTTAATACCTCCATTTCCTTTATTTTTGTTCCAAAAAATTTTTGTGATTGAATAACTCATTATTACTTTTAATTATTCAGATTTTATAGTTTAATTTCTATAAAGTATATTAATTACATACTTCACTTGTCAGATATTTCTTTTTTTTTTTATCATTAACCTCTGTGTGGATAAATGATATAATATTTAATATAATTTTTACATTACATTTACTTCTAAAATTTGCTTTTTTTTAGTTATACAAAAGTCTTTGTTAATGTAAAAAAAGAAATTTTATATATTTTTTAAAAATATTTTTTATTTGAGTTTTAAGAATTTATTTATTTGAATTTCGATTATTTTTTCAGATATTAGATTTTTTTCTAAAATTTGAATATAATAATATTTATTACAGATTTGATCAAATATCGAATCAAACTGAAATATAATTGTTATCAAATTCACGTTCAATCCTATCGTTATCTGATCACAATGTGAATCATTGACAGCACTGCCAAAATCAAAGTACAAATATTTAATTGAGCTTTGGGACTACTAGATGTGAGAGATCCCTGGGATCCTTTCATTTCCAGTGCCAGTGAAGAAAAGAAAAAGGACTTTTGACTTCAACTCTTTCAACTTCTATTTGCAAATAAATAATACAGCCTTAATATCTGCCGTCTCCTCTCTATCAACTCGTGCCACATCCTTCTCCCCCAGTTTGGCCTTCCATTTCAGAATGGAAAGTTCTATGCCTTACACAAAATTCCTGCAATGTAAGAACAAAATTACAGACTTTATGTTGAAAGAAATTACACAGAAATTGATGTTAGTCAGTCTGAAAAAGCAGTTTCTTCTTACACCGCTGAGCAGCAGGTCACGAGGCTCGAACATCTGGATCACTTCTCCCATCCTAGGCCTGTTCTCAGTGTCCGGATCCACGCATCTCAGCGCGATCAAAACCGCTCTTTTTAGTTCCTTCATTGAGGGCGGATCCGGCACCCTAGGATCTAGAACGCAGTCCAAGTGTTGCCTTGAGACCATAGATTTCAACCAGTCTAACAAGCTTACCTGCAAATCCATTCACCGTGAAATCCAATAGTTATGAAGAACAGAGGGTGTTCTTGGAGCAAGAACATTTAGATTGGAATTCTATTTTCTGTTTTCGATTTTTTTGTATTTCCAAAAGGAAAAGATTATAATGTTTGGAAAACTCTATTATTCTTATATCGATCTTATTTTGGAGCAAAAGTGCTTTCTGAGCATTAGAAACTTTTCTTGCTTTGCAATCCTGCTCCAAGTAGCAGGGCTTAACCGAGATGGATCACTCCAGATGTAGGGTGGGTTAAACTAAATATAAATAGAATATCCAAAATCACATCTTGAGTTTAGGAAGTTTGGAAAGGGTTGAAAATGACTCGAAATATATGAATTTTAGAAAAATTTAATATTGAAAAAGATTTTAAAACTATTGTAGACATGAGAAGGGAAGGGCAGAGGATTAAATTTATGTCAGGGTACTAATAGTAAGTAGAGATTAAGCACATTTTCAGAGAAGAGAATGCATGTGCAGATAATTTGGCTAACATCAGTTTATTTCATAAGTATGACCTTAAAGATTAGGCCTTCCCCCAGTCACTTAATGAGAGCTTATTCGCCACGACATGTTGGAAAAATTTCTCTCCCCGAGAAACATGATTCATTTGTTTATATTTTTTTTGAGATTCGGCGCTTCAATTACACCCAAAAAAAAAAAAAAAGAGAGAAACAAAGAGAGTTTTTTTTTGTGGAAAATTCTCTTGAAAAACAGTTCTTGAAAACAACCCACCAAACGGGTTGTTTCCAAAAACAAATCCAAATAGGCAAGCGTTTCAAGACTAGCAACTAACCTCTTCTTCAGTTCCTATGGTGTAATAATCTAGAGGAGTCTTCCCTGTTATTATCTCCATGAGAAGTACGCCGAAGCTATAAACATCGGTTTTCTCATCAAGTTTGCCGGTGTGTGCGTACTCCGGCGCTGTGTAACTGCAGAAGCCATGCAAAACCAGTTAGAAAAGCCGCACCTATCAATCAGGCATACGCAAAATTTGAGCATATAGAATTATGGACAATAGACTGACCCGAACATTCCAAAGGATGAAGTTTTAACTTGAGTCCACTCTGAGCCTAAAACCTGGGCAACGCCGAGGTCAGATACCTTGGGATTCCACTGGTGATCAAGCAGAACATTGCTAGATTTTACACGTCCATGAATCATGATGGGTTCAATATCCTCGTGGAGATATGCCAAGCTGCAGCAGATAAAAACGTGCCATGTTTGATGAGGACATCGGTGAAATAAGAAGGGGCTAATTGTAAGAATGCAAAGTAGTGGTAAAGATAAAACAAGAAATAATGGGATGGGAAGGAGGATGGAACTGGGAGGGGGAGAAAACAAGCAGGCCAGGATTCATGTTTTGAAAAATTGGTATTTTCTCTCTTATTTTCCCTTTTATTCTAAAGGCACCCCACGTTTATAAAATCGTTTGCAATTTAATTCACTTCTATGTCAATAACCCATTTATTGTTCAAAGAAGGTTTTCATCCAAATTTTTATGTTAGGCCAAATCTGAAAAATGCTTTATGAAGGAGTTAATTACAAAAACAGAAGAGAGTAGGAGGGTTTCTTTAACAACCTTTCTTTATTTTTAAATATTTTCTTAATTTATCAAGATCGTTCACAGAAAAGAAAAAAAAAAATTATGTGGAAGGGGTTCTCTTCTAATTTTTGTATTAACTAGTATTGGATCATATTTTGTACAAGATATCAAATAAAGTGAAATCTATACTCTGTATAAAATATAAGGATGTGTGAACCACAATTTTGATTTATTTTTTAAAAATTGAGCTTGGGTTTTTTTTTTTGGTTTAGTTATTTTAAAAACTAAATCAATCTAATTTAATTACAAACCAAACTAAATCAAATTAAATTAAACCTAAAACTTTAGCTCAGTTCGGTTCATTTTGGTTTTAAGTTTAATTTATTATTATTTAATAATTATTTAAATAAATTATTTATGTAATTTTTTATTGTGATAAATGTATATATACACATGTATGTGTCATATATGTATACATATGTCTGTATGTATATGTATACATATATATACATATATGTATATTTAATATAAATACAAACATATGTGTGTGCATATATATATATATATTTTATTTTTTTTTAATTGAGGAGAAAATTTTGATTTATGGTTTAAAATGGTTTAATTTAAATTTTAGATTAAACCAAATCATAAATTGAGATTATTTTTTTGAATCCAACCAAATTAAATTTTAAGAATTTAGTTTAGTTTGGTTAATTAATTTAGTTTTACACCTTTAATGGACTATATTACACCTATAAATATAAATATAAAAATATATATATTTAATATAATAAAAAATATAAATCATACCATTCGTATGTAATAAATTTATCAACTAACAAATGACAAAAAAAAAATATTTATCAATTTTAATACGTATACAGAAGAGAGAATATAGAAAGGCGCACACACCATTTTGCAACTGATTGGATAATATTCATCCGGATGGCCCAAGTCGGGGGGCTAACATCTCTAATGTACCCGTGCAGCCAATCATAAAGATTTCCCTTGTCCACGTACTCGTACACAAGGATCCTGGAAAATTAAAAAATAATTGAGGATTGGTTTTGGGGGAGATTTTATAATTAATTTCTGCCAATATTAAAATATTTTAGTAAAAATTAAATAAGAATAATTTTAATATTACCTTAATTAAAAGATTGTATGAAAAATAATAATATAAAGGGCACCTGCTAGCTCCATCGACGCAGCATCCAAGCAAGTTGACCAGATTCCTGTGTCTCGCTCCTCCAACTGCTTCCACTTGTGCTAGGAATTCCTCACCATTGCCACTGATGATCATCACTTTTATGAATACATAGATCTCAATTTAACCAATCAAATATTTTTTTTTTGTAATTTTTGGGTCCTTCTCAAAATATGAAATATGTAACAAATTAACTATGATATGTAATATTTGAAAGTTATCATCATAAACTAGATTTTTTTTCCCCTAACCATGAGTATCTCTATCTATTTTACGGTATAAATTGACGATCTTGATCAAGGTGTGTGACTGCTCTTTCCAAATATGTATTTTTATAAAATTGAATTTAAAATACTTCTATAATTAAATAAGTATCTTATCATATTTATCCACGTTTATTAGATAAATTAAAGGTATCTGAGGTCAAAATTTTGAATTTCTAATTTTTTTGGTTATTAATGAGAAAGTTTTATTTTATTTGTTTTAAAAAAGTTTATTTTTTATTTGATTTTCTTCAAATAATTCACTCATAAATGTAAAAAAATAAAAAGTTATCAATTTCTTTCTATGCTGCATTTAAAAGTTGAATAAAAAAAATAAATTTAGATTCCAAAATTTTATTTTTTAACTTTTTTGTTAAGTTTCTAACTTTTTATGTTAAAAAATTTAAAAATTTGATTGAAAGAACTAAATTTTTTAAACGGAACCAACACTCCCTAAGCAGGGTAAAAAGATGAAGCACCCAGTAATATTTTTTTCCCATGTTACTCATTTTGTGAAAAAAAAATATTATTTATTGAAACCGAAAGTTGATATACAAGTACAATACCTTCCGCATAACAATTTCTTCACTGCAACCCTGCTTCCATCAAACATGACGCCGCGATAGACGATCCCGTGGTCTCCACTGCCGATCATATTCTCATCGGCGAACCAATTCGTGGCGGCTTCAATTTTCCTCATCGAGTACCCCTGTTTCCACTGCATTCCCTCCCTCCAATCGCTCTTCACTTCTCCCTCCCGGACTGACCACTGGCCCGCGAAGAGAGCCGGCCGTTCCGGCGTCCAAATACCCATCTCCATGTCTGACCCGGTTCGGGACAAGAGCCTCCGGTCCATGGAAGATGTGTAGGAAACAGAGTGATGCTTATGGACCTTTCGGGGTCTCCGGCGCCGGCGAGAGAAGAAGAAGAAGAAGCAGAGGATTGAGAAGAAAAGAAGAAAGAGTGCTGCAATGGAGGCGACGAGGAGGACCCACAATCTGAGGCCGAAGAAGGAGGTGCTGCTCGAGAGCTTCAGCTTGTGAGGGAGAGACGACAAAGCGGCGAACATGATTGGATGGATTCTGATCAGGTGAAAGATGAAGAGATCGGAAATTAGGTCTTGACCTGCTTCAAAACGGAGACCATGTCTAATATATAGCCGTAGAGTGAGAGAGACGTAGAAGCCATGCTCTATTGAGAACTATATCATATCCAAATCCTGGCGTACAACGGAAAACCGCGAGTAGCGGGAGGTGCAGGTGATGATAAGGTGCGGAGCCGACCACGCTATCCTGATGGACAACCAATAGCATTCCGCATGTGGTTAATGTGCATATGTAATTTCATAAGACGTGGCAAAAAAAAAAAGGAATGATATACTGCTGATGTAATAAATATTTTAGTAGTTTATTTCATCCTGTGATATACGAGACTCACTCCTACTGTAAATTACAAATAACCCCTGAAATTATAATAAATTCCAAAGTTAATGCACAAATTTTAAAATCTTACACCCAATCTTTCGGAAAAAAGTAAAATTGTGATGTACTATTAAAATTAGTCGTACGACGGCACGTACATAAATCGCTCCTTATTAAATAAAATTATTTTAAATTAAAATATTGAATCTCCGCCCACTGTTTTGAAAATTTAACTAAATCAATAAGTTCAATTAGTTGAACTGAGAATTGATTGGCTCCCCAGTCTAGTTAAATAAAAAAATTAAATAAGGTTTAAAATAGGTGAGAATTAGTTACAGTCAGTTAAAAATTAAAAAAGTTGATTTATTAATTTGATTTTTTTTTTTTTTTCTTTTCCTCTCTTTATATCTATCTATCTCTCTTATATATATTTGAGACTTATGAAATCTTTGAATTGAATCTAAAAATTTTGCATCGCAACTGGTGGGGGGCTTCTACCATTGCTAGAAAGTTTGTCAACGACTTGAATATTTGGCAAGCTCCCCCTACTTGGACATGTCAGACTTGATACTGAGGCTATATACAAACTTGAGTTAATCGGAACACACAGTGTCGCTGAAGTTTACATGCGAGAGGGAGGTGTAGAGCGAGCCTACGAAGTTGACCGGCTAGGAGAAGTTTGCCCTTGATTTTGCTTAATTTTTTGGATGATATTATGGAAAAAGAAGAAGAAGAATCAGAGCGGAGAACTAAACCAAATACCTAGGTGACCGCATGTGCACTAGAGGAAGGAAAAAAAAAAAAAAAAAAGAAAGACAAGAAATTAAAAGGTCAAAGTTTACGACTAAAACTTTGAAATTTTGGTTAATAGAATTATTATTTTAACCCTTTGAAAATTATTTTTATTCTTAAGTCGTATAATTCTTACCATTATTATTTTTTTTTTTAAATTCTGATTTGGTCGTAGTTACTTTATTTTATCACTTGAAAATAAAATTTGTGATTAATTATAATAGAACAAATTATTAATTTTTAAAATGATGATTTTTAATAACAATAAAAAATTAAAACATATTAAAATTGAAATAATTTTTTGGATTAATGCAATTATATAATAAATATATTTATTTTATTTTACATAATTTCACTATTACTAATCAAAATCATGATATAAAAAAAATCAATTGTTAAAATAAATATAGATATAAAAGATAATAAAAAGAAAAAATATACAATTAAATAATAAAAATATACTATATATAGATATAAGATATTTAATTTTATATATATATAGACTATACAGTTTGGTTTGATTTATACTGTTTGTCTAAATATCAAATATCAAATCAAACCAAACTATACAATTTGGTTCGGTTTATATAGTTTAAACGATTTGGTTCGGTTTGTTGAACACCCTACCGGAGAGAGGGGTTGTAGGCATGCAAGATGGAGCACTGACTATAACATCCAACCCAAACCCTCATGTATTTTATTTTATATTTTATTTTACATAAGTGTAATTAATGAGATTACTAGCGGTTTAAATTTAATTTAAAAATAATAATAAAATATATATTAAAAATAAAATAAAAAATATAAAATTAAAAAAAAGAAAAGAAGAAGATATAATTTCACGGGGTTGTATGTCCCTACTTGTCCACCATGAAGAATGTTTTTACGTAAAAGAAAAGAAGAGAAGAAGGAAAAGAAGAGATAAAGAAGGAAAATAGAGAGAGAAGAGGAAGGAGCTTGAGAGAAGGCAAGTGCTGGGAATTGAACGAAAGCACAGAAAGATTTTAATCGATTTTTGGTAAGTTTTTTAATGAGTTTTTTTATATATATTTTCAATCATTCGTGTTTTAGTTTCATTTAATCGGTTTGAATTTTAGTTTAAGTGTTATTTTTGTGATAAAAATCAAGAAATAATTTCTACCAATTTAGATTAAATTTTTATTAATTCATGTTAATTTTGGTAAGAAAATGACTAAGTTAGTTCAATAAAAGCAAAACTAAACTTACATTAAAACTTGTCTAAAACCCAATTTAGAAGTTTGCTGACTCACTTATGGATTATTTTTCATAAAAAAATAATTATAACTCTTTTTATGAACGTAAGCATACCTTGGTATACCTAATTTGACAATGAGTATATATTAATATTTAAAAATTTTTGGAGTACGTATGTAATAGAACTTTTGACCTTAAGTCAAAATGGTTGAAAACAGCTTAATTATAAATAATTTCATGTATGTATTAGCATATTCATACATTTATATGCAGTTTTTGACATGTCATTGATAGTATATGTAGTTATATTTTAAGAGAAATATACCAACTAATTAGTGAGATCAATAGGACTGAGTCTGAGCATACACAATATTAGTAGAGGTAAGTGGTCTTTTTTTAAACTCAGTATTTTCCTAAAATAATAAAATTAATATTTTTCTTACAAATAAATGTTTTACTTTAAAACCAAAGTTTTTATTTTTGAAATGCCTTTTAATTTATATATTATGATTATTTTGCTATGAGAAATAGAAATAGGGATTTCATTTTTTTTTTATCTTGTATGTTATATATGTGAATTGTGGTAATTTACCTAGATAATTCGCTGGTTAGTCACATTATTATGGCAGTACTACAAGATTTATTTGTTCGGTGGGGCATTTGACACTAACAAGTTATGTGCATTTGTTCATAGGGGTGGTATCCTATAAAACGAGTCTCATGATCAATAGTACCCAGTAAATTCTTCTCATGTTATATTTATATCTATGTGCACGTCAGATCTCAATTTATTTATGGAGTCGTTATATTTTTGCTTCCATCCTTAACCCTTTAAAAATATTTTGTTATGGTTGGATTTGTAGGTTCAACGGATGAATTAGCTTTATTTTTAAATTATGATCAGTATATTGATTTCTCACGATGTGATATTCTATATTAGTTATGTTAGTTGTACGAATTACTTTTATTTACAGTATTATGCAATATATTTTTGTTTCATTAGTTTTAGTTGAAGGATCATTCACTAAAGTACAAGTCTCATAACTTATTTATTTTTCAGATTCTAGTAATAGAGATCTGTAACTACTTTACGTGCATTCAGTATGGCAGCATTTTGCATCTCGCAAGTTGAGGTCCACTTTTGTCAATAATAGCTAGTTGAGTTGTTATTTGACGAGTGAAGGGTAGACAATTGTATTGTACGTCAAGGTTGGTTGGAAAGAGAAGCATGTAAGAAAATTATGTTTTCAGTTATGATAATAACTCAGTTTTCGTATTATGTTATGCAGAATTTTTGCAGCTTTATTTAATTTTTTTTATTGAGTTGTATGTTGGACTCAGTAAGTACGATAGTTGAATAAAGTTTGATATTCTCCAATGAATTTCGAGTATCGGAAATTGCTAAACTCTATTCTACTATCATCTTACTCGAGTTATGAAGTGGGGTGTGATGCTGACAGTGTTAACAACGCAAGCTAAATTGTGCAAAGATACAACTGAAATTATTCCTAGTTGTTCATTTATTTTATTTTAATTTATCTTATTTTGGATATGTTATACGCTTAAATTAGATTCATTTGTTTCTAATTTTAAGATGAATTAATTTAATTTTTTTGAGATTGCAATTAAACTCAGTTTGTAGTTTGAATTATTTAATTTTTATTTTCTTTGATTATGAACAAAATTTGTTTATTTATATAATTTTATATTTAATATTTTTAATTGATTGATGACCAATTAAATTGATTTCAAAATGTATTTGAATTTGGAAAGGGAGGATAGATTTAGTGGTAATTGAATAATTTATATTCGATTTAATTAAATGGATAATTAAATTGATTCATATGTAAAATAAAAATATACTCGCTCATCTAAATAGTTAAATTAGAGTTTATTCTTAATTAATCTAATTTAAATTTAATTTATATAAGAATTTAGCAAATTGGTTTAACCAGATGCTTTTATAATAATTTGAAGTAAAATTATAAATAATTTATAATTCCAAGTTCACAAACTAGCCTATTTGTTAATCGTATAAAATTAATTAAAAAAATGTAAGTGAAGCGTTGAGAAAATTGTAATTCTAGGTTTTTATTTCTTGAATTTTCATTAACCATCAGTATCCATTTTTACTTTCCATTATTTCACTATTTTTCATAAATTATATCTCTATTTTTATTTACTTGAATAAGAATATATTATTTTAACTTTTATACTTAGCAAGTTATTTAGAGAGTAATCTCTTGTAAAAATAATATATTATTTATCATTATATTACTTACCGGGATATATGTACTTGTGCATATAAATTGTATCGTAAATTGCTAGAAAAATAAGTGACAAAAAATTACAATATTCTCACGTATTTTTGATGCCTTATTTTTTAATGAAATATTTAAAAAAATCCTTTTTATCATTGCATAAGTCCAATAAAATTTATTACACCATTTAATAATATTTTAATTTTTTTTAAGATTTTAAATTTATGCACTAAATTTGAAATCTATTAAATTTTTAGGAAGTTATTTGTATTTTACTCTTTCTTTAATAGAACATAATTTTTATTGATAGTAAAAAAATTTAAAAAAAAGTTAAAATTTTGGATTTTGTTTCCTCTCTAATTCAATTACCAAGTAAAAGTAGAACACTTCCTGGAACTTTCATTCCGACGGGAAATTGAAGGTTTCTTCGACGGTCCATCCAGAGAAAATGGTGAGCTTTCACACCCCCCGTCACAAGCGGCGAAGACCCACAACCACAGAGTCAGCCAAGTCTTCGTTTATTAATTTGAATAGTCAATTCTAATTAGTTGTTTTATTATTCCCTTTAATTTAATTAAAATTTTTGTTCATAACATTTTGTATTTCAGAAAAAGTTAATTAGTAAAAATATATGTAATATATATTATTATAAACTATAAAAATAACAGTATGTTATAAAAAAATATTATTACTTAATTATAAAATTGTCAATAAATTAAATTTAAATTTAAATTTAATCTAAATTTGATTTAAAATTTATAATTTAAATATAATTAAAATATTTGATAAATAAAATTTAATTATAAATATTTATTATTGAAAATGAATGAATTATATATGAAATAAAATAATTAGATTTATTAAAAATTTGAATATGAATTTTAATAATTTATTTTATGAAATTATTTATATTATTATAAACTATAAAAATAACAGTATGTTATAAAAAAATTTATTACTTAATTATAAAATTATTAATGAATTAAATTTTAATTTAAATTTAATCTAAATTTGATTTAAAATTTATCATTTGAATATGATTAAAATATTTGATGATCAAATTTAATTATAAATATTTATTATTTAAAATAAATAAATTTTATATGAAACAAAATAATTTGATTTATTAAAAATTTGAATTCAATTTTTAATAATATAATTTATGAAATTAATAATTTTATTTATATAATATTAATAAATTTTTAAAATTGTTAACGAGACTTGTATCAAGATTTGTTTGATCCAAGTTTGATTATATAATTGATAAAAATGACTTATTTTATTTAAATAAGAAATTAGTCATTTATTTGATTGGTTATTTCTATATTTATTAAGTCCATTGACTGATGAGTTTTAATTTTCTTAGTCATTGCCGGCAGCATTTTTTTTTTAAAGAGAAAAGAAAAGAAAAGAAAAACAGCCACCCTGGGCGAACATTCCAGACGGGGAAGAGCTACAGTGTAACGACGTCGTCTTTTCTGCAAACACACCAATTCTCTTTAATTATTTTTTTTTAGGGGATTATTTGATTTATTCATTACGCATGGGACAACGTTTATGGAGGCCGAAACTGAATCCATAAAATAAAACCAGTGAAGTATCAAATATCGAGAGGGAAGTAGAAGGATCCAGAACGTTTTCCTTCCCAGCGGTTTTGGGTGGGCAAAGAGAAGGTCCTAGAACAACTTCCTTCCTGTATATATACCTTTCTCTATCTCTATGCACATATGTCTCTGTGAATCTGATAGTGTCTTGCTTTGCATCTGTATTGCCCTTTCTTTGCTTTCTTGCTTTGTCTAAATTCTCTCTCGAATTTCATCAATGGCAGACGTTCAGATGGCCGACGCAGAAACCTTCGCCTTCCAGGCCGAAATCAACCAGCTCCTCAGCCTTATCATCAACACCTTCTACAGCAACAAGGAGATCTTCCTTCGCGAGATTATTAGCAATGCCTCTGACGTAAGCATATAAATTTTCTCTGGTTCTGCAGTTTCCGAGATACTGTTGCTGTTTTCGAAATTAGCTAAGAGTAGATTGTGAATTGTGGTGCAGGCCTTGGATAAGATCCGATTCGAGAGCCTGACGGATAAGAGCAAACTCGACGCCCAACCCGAGCTCTTCATAAGGCTCGTCCCTGACAAGACCAACAAGACGCTCTCCATTATCGACAGTGGCATCGGAATGACCAAAGCAGGTTCGTTCTATGGATTATGAAACTTTGATTTACAATTAGTGTCGATATTTTGGTTGTTGAAAGAGAACATGGTAACAATGCTCCAAAATGATTGTGTTTTCAGATTTGGTCAATAATCTAGGAACAATTGCGAGGTCGGGCACCAAAGAATTCATGGAGGCGTTGCAAGCGGGGGCTGATGTGAGCATGATTGGGCAGTTTGGTGTCGGGTTTTACTCGGCGTATCTCGTTGCAGAGAAGGTCTTAGTGACCACCAAGCACAACGATGATGAGCAATACATCTGGGAATCACAGGCCGGTGGTTCATTCACCGTTACACGGGACGTCAACGGTGAGCAGCTGGGCAGAGGAACTAAAATCACTCTCTTCCTCAAGGAAGACCAGGTAATTTAGGCTTCCTTCATGTCTTTTCTCTCCAGTTCTTTCTTTTCATCGTTTCGAATTTCTATATTTTCAGAAACACGAGAATCTAGAATGCTTAATAATGTTGAAACTTTATTGATTTTGTTTGGTGTTCGTCTTAAGTAGAAATAATATTAGATGGCGTTTTGGGAACAAATTGTTGTTTCTTCAATTTTTATTTTTATTTTTTAAATAAAGGTGCACGATTTGTGGAAATTATCTCAAAAGTAGTTGGAGGGTAGAACCTACTAAGCAGCTATAAAGAGGCTTTCGTTACCGATCGCTTTATGTTGCAGTTGGTTGAGTGACATGATGATTTTGGTGTCATTGGTGTATAAAGCAAAAACAATTAAATTTATTAAAGATGTCATTTTAATTTAGTATTTTGATATGGAGCTTTGTATTTTCTTCAGCTGGAATACCTGGAAGAGAGGAGGATCAAAGACCTCGTGAAGAAGCATTCAGAGTTCATCAGCTACCCGATTTACCTCTGGACCGAGAAAACAACAGAGAAGGAGATAAGCGATGATGAAGACGACGAGCCAAAGAAGGAAGAAGAAGGCGAAGTTGAAGAGGTGGATGAGGAGAAAGAGAAAGACAAGGGAAAGAAGAAGAAGGTGAAGGAGGTGACTCATGAGTGGCAGGTCATCAACAAGCAGAAACCCATCTGGCTGCGCAAGCCAGAGGAGATCACCAAGGAGGAATATGCTTCCTTCTACAAGAGCTTGACGAATGACTGGGAAGATCATCTCGCGGTGAAACATTTCTCTGTTGAAGGACAACTTGAATTCAAGGCTATTCTCTTCGTTCCCAAGAGAGCTCCTTTTGATCTCTTTGATACCCGGAAGAAGATGAACAACATCAAGCTATATGTCCGGAGAGTGTTTATCATGGACAACTGCGAAGAGCTAATTCCAGAGTACCTTGGATTTGTTAAGGGTGTGGTGGATTCCGATGATTTACCACTGAACATCTCTCGTGAGATGCTGCAGCAGAACAAGATTCTGAAGGTAATCCGAAAGAACCTAGTGAAGAAATGCGTTGAAATGTTCAATGAGATTGCGGAGAACAAGGAGGATTATAACAAGTTCTATGAAGCTTTTTCAAAGAATTTGAAGCTGGGTATCCACGAGGACAGCCAGAACAGGGCTAAATTGGCTGATCTGCTTCGGTACCACTCTACCAAGAGCGGGGAAGAGATGACAAGCCTGAAAGATTATGTTACAAGAATGAAGGAGGGGCAGAAGGACATTTATTATATAACTGGTGAAAGCAAGAAAGCCGTTGAGAATTCTCCCTTCTTAGAGCGGCTAAAGAAGAGGGGCTACGAGGTGCTCTTCATGGTAGATGCCATTGACGAGTACGCCGTTGGTCAATTAAAGGAATATGATGGGAAGAAGCTTGTTTCGGCTACCAAAGAAGGATTGAAGTTGGATGATGAGACCGAGGAGGAGAAGAAGAAAAAAGAGGAGAAGAAAAAGTCATTTGAGAACCTCTGCAAGACCATTAAGGACATTTTGGGAGACAAGGTTGAGAAGGTCGTTGTCTCCGATAGGATTGTGGATTCTCCGTGCTGTTTGGTAACCGGGGAATATGGTTGGACAGCAAACATGGAGAGGATCATGAAGGCTCAAGCATTAAGGGACAGCAGCATGAGCTCTTACATGTCTAGTAAGAAGACTATGGAAATTAATCCTGATAATGGAATCATGGAGGAGCTTAGGAAGAGAGCTGAGGCAGATAAGAATGATAAATCAGTGAAGGATCTTGTGATGCTGTTATTCGAGACTGCCCTATTGACATCTGGATTCAGTCTGGATGATCCCAACACATTTGGGGCTAGAATACATAGGATGTTGAAGTTGGGTCTGAGCATTGACGAGGAAGAAGAAGCTGGTGGAGATGATGATATGCCGGCTTTGGAGGAAGAGGGCAACGAGGAGAGCAAAATGGAGGAAGTAGACTGAGAAAAGATTGTGTTGTAGAAACAGAAGGTGGTAGTCTGGTAGAGAGGCATAAGGAATTTGTCTGTGTTTGGATGTTTTCTGTTTCCCAGTTGTAATGTGTGGGCGTAAGTCTGTACTCTATTGTTTCCATTTTTGTGTCCCTTTCAATACCGGTTATAATGGCATCAATGTCTGTTCAGTATAATCTCTCTCTCTCTCTCTCTCTCTCTCTCTCTCTCTCTCTTATATTGCAGGGTAGTGTTTATTAGCAGGGACAGTTAGCAGCATGCGTGAATTACATTAAAAAAATGTTAATATGGAAAAAAGTTAAAAGCAGGGCAAGAACAGAAGTTCAATTGAGAGGACGGACACCGGATTAGAAAGGAAGGAGAGAATTGTATCCCAGTTTTGAAGCAACTGCGCGAGATTTCTCTGAGTTCGAGGCTTCGAGCTGTAGACGACCTCCGGTTGATAAATCAATACAAAAATTCAGTTGTCAGTCCAAGTTTCTGAATTTTTTTTGAACGCTCGTCTGTTTCTCATCGTATTAGTTAAATTCCCAATTTTGAAGGTTCCATGGAGACATCCTCTTTGAAATTTTATATATTAGATGGGCTACAGACTTTTATCCACAGAAATGTTTCACTATATTTCGAATTAAATTTCAAATTTCTGAGGTTCTATATGTATGTGGACTTCATATTTCGGAGTCAGGATGTTGATTTTATATATTGGGAATTTATTTTTAATTTAAAAATGTTTATTTAAAAATGTTTGTGTAAGTCTTTGAAAACCAGGGAAACAATTTCTCCATTTTATTTGTATTAAAATATATATAAATAAAAATATTTCATTCTATTATTGGTAAATTACAATTCTAATGTCCTTGTTAAGTTATATAATATAGGTATTTCACCCAATCTGTAACTCAAATATATAAATATATAGATGAATGAATCCAGGAAAGAACATAATTTCTTAATAACCTGTAACTGAATATATAAATATATAGATGAATGAATAAAGGGAAGAACATAGTTTCTTAATAGATGATATATTAATAAACAATAAATTAAAAATAAGAATGAATTAATTAATATCAGTGTAATAATAAAAAAATTATAATTTTACACTATTGATTTAGTCAAAATTAATGGATAAGATTAATTAATTTAAATTAATTATTAAAAGTTATTGAGAAATAGTTATAATTAATTTTATTTGTTAATTTTGAACAAATTAATGGTACAAATTTTGGTATAAATTTTTTATACGTACACTCTGTAAATTAATCCCTGTTTATACGGGATGATTTTATATATTGGGAATTTATTTTTAATTTAAAAATGTTTATATAAGTCTTTGAAAACCGGGGAAACCATTTTCCCATTTTATTTGTATTAAAATATATATAAATAAAAATATTTCATCCTATTATTTGGTAAATTACAATTCTAATGTCCTTGTTAAGTTATATAATATGGGTATTTCACCCAACCTATAACTCAATATATAAATATATAGATGAATGAATCCAGGAAAGAACACAGTTTCTTAATAGATGATATGTTAATAAACAATAAATTAAAAATAAGAATGAATCAAGTATAAAAAAATTTATAACTTTATTTTGTTGATTTGGTCAAAATTAACAGATAAAATTAATTAATTATAAATTAATTATTAAAAATTATTGAGAAATAGTTATAATTAATTTTATTTATTAATTTTGAACAAATTAATAATACAAATTTTGGTATAAATTTTTTATACGTACACTCTGTAAATTAATCTCTTTTTATTAAAACTAAATATCTAATGCAGCATGTATTTGTTTTTAAGTGGGACGGATGCAAAACTCACAGTTAAACACTCATAAACTTAAAATGGATGAGGATATATATAAGGGTAAAAAGAGACATACAAAATCACTAAAATTCCCTCTTTGAGATTTTTTAAATTAATTTTGTTGTTGTTTTACTTTTTAAAACTGAATGGTAGTGTTTGAAAATTGCAAGTCATCGGGTCATTGCAATGGGAATAATAATTTGAAATAAAATTTTTATAATTCTTAATTGGGAATAAAAATTTTTTTGTGAAAAGTATGAAATAAAGTCATGTACTTTTCCCAAGCTCAACTTGTAGTCGTACAAAAATTGACATTAAAGAAAGCTAAAGTCCATGGAACGTACGGAATCATATATATGTTGGAGTTGAAATATATATATATATGTATATAACATAATTATTAGAATAGACTATTAGTAGTTTTATAAAATGATAAATAATAGAAAATTTTATTAATTTTAATATATATTATATTAAATTAATATAATATAATTTCTATTGATTTATAATTTTTTGTATATAAAAAAAGAACTATTTCAGCTTAAAAAATATATAAGTGAAAAATTTATATTAATATTAATAACATTTTTTTTCATTTATCAAACGCTTGTTTGAAAATTATTTACCAACGTGTGTTTACTTTGAAAAATGATTTCCTTATTAACCAATTTTTTGAAAAAAAAAAATGATTTCTCGAAAACTAATTTTAGACGGACGACTCGGTTGCAGAGCTTTGTTTGAGCCAGGGCTCTAAAATAGAGCTCTGTCACGGAGCTTGTCCACATAGCTTAGAGGAGGGGGCGACGAAGATTGCAAGGAAGGATGAAAGGGGCGACGAAGATTGCAGGGGAAGGAGGAAGGGGGCGACGGGGCAGGGGGTGGCGGGTCGAGGGAGCTTTGCCTTTGATTTCCACATTCACTGCATCATCCCACCATGCCTGTATTCGAAGAAGACAAAGCAGAGCAACTTCGAATGCTTCGACGAAGAAGAGAGTAGGCGGAATATGATTGTTGCTTCAACATCGGGTTACCTTTGGAGCTCAGCCCACTTCCCTCTGCAGAGGCGAAATGGGATCCTCTCTCCGCCCACTGCCCCCTTTCCCTTCCCCATTCCTACCCTTTCCTCCTCCTCTTGCGACATTCGCCGCCCCTTTGTGCTCTACGGATGAACTCTGCGACTGATGCAGTCTAACTAAAATTAGTGCTCCAAAAATCGATCAATTTCTCAAACTTAACAATTTTTTACATATTTTGTTAAAATAATTTTCACACATGTTTCAATAAATTAAAAAGAATTATTAATTTTTATAAATTTGTCCAAATAGCCGAAAAAAAAAAATGGCATAAAACGACCATGAAGCTTCTTGCGCCCAAGGAATTATAAACTGCGCGTGATCCCGACTGGAGATCCTCCTGTACCTCTGGTTCTCTGTCGCAGTCCTTTTCCTGAACCTACATTTTCCTTACATTTACTGTATGACAGAGAAAAGCAGGGGCAATGGTGAGTGACAAAACCTTCAAAACCCCGGATTATTGTCGAAGACCAGAAATCATAGCTAATGTGATCTTCACTGTACATAAATTCATCGTAGAGCGTGATCCTGCGGTTTCACTCATTGGTATCACTCAATGTGATTTTCACTTTACATAAATTCCATGTATAGCATGATTCTGCGTGCTGATCGGTGGTATCGGCTATCAGCTTCAAGCTTCTCGTTGCCTACTCCTGTGATTCTGTGGATCTACGTATATATTTAGAACTAGGAAACAACACGGCGATCCACGAGGGTTTTCAGATTTGCATTGGTAAGAATTTGTGTGCGCAGATGATTTAGTGCTGGAATTGAGAGTCTAGAGTTGAAAGTGAGTTCACCAGCTGAGTAATTCCATTATCTTCGAGATTTCGAGTAGTATTAATCCCGTCGGAATGGTTATTTTGTCTGAGATTTGACAATCAGTGTGGAAAGCGGAGGTTGATGAAGGCACAACGAAATGATTCGATCGCTCTCGGTGCTTTTTTATTTTTTATTTTTTCCAGAAAAGAAGGTTGGAGCGACTCGTGCTTTTGACAATAATTAATTATTTGCTTTCTTACTTGTTAGTTCTCTCTCTTGACGCAGAAGGTCGAAAGATTTACATATCCCAGAGTTTTCCTTTCCATCTTTTACAGACCCGAAAATTTCTGAAGACTTGATCAGTGAGGTTAAAATGGCCAACACATGGTGATTCACTCCTGTGTCGCTAATTTATTATGGTTATTCATGTGGTTGCTAATTCAAACAGGTTTTCATGTGTCTGAGGATTTCATGTAACTACTTCCTATATTTTCCGAATGGAGCAGGCTATCAAAAATGACATATACAAGAGACTTTCTTCTATCCTTTCGCGAATTGGAAGCTTGCAAAAGTTTACCTGGTGGATTGAACTCCTCCATCTTACGGTATTGCACCTCCACTGCTTTCGGGTTTAACTTATACTTTGGTGCTATATTCATGGTTCTTTATATTATATTTCTTTCTATGCCTGTGAAACAGTGAATTTAATCAAGCTTTTAATCAAGCTTGTAATAGCCCATCCTCCAGTAGTACGAATGATTCTGTTAACAGTTCTCAAGATTCAAATGGAAAACAGGTAGTGCTTCATCGTGGTGGAGAATCAGAGATGGAAATTAGGTTTGTGTTCATAAATTATTGATCATCTATACAAATGGTTCCCAATTTTGTATCTATTTGTTGTATAGGAACTTAATGGGGGAGAGTGAGAGGACCACTTAGTAGCTTGATGAGAATATATTCTTCCAAAGAACATCTAGGATTCAGTGGATCTTTCAAGTTTGCGGGCTGATGAACCCTTGTCCACATGCACCTGTGTCTAGGTAGCGTATATATCTACTTTAAGAACCAAGTTTGGCTTACTGGGGTTCCACTAGCACTTATATTTATAAAGCATAGATGGTTAGACAACTAGATGTTCTCTATATCTTCTCTACCAGGATAGCAAACATGGCTAGTTATCCTTTACAGGTACCCACTGATTTAATAAAATTACAAAAATTTCTTGCCAGTCCTGTAATTTGGTTATAGAATTCCTCTGTTTGTAGTCATATTATGCGAAGGTAAAGCTTCCTCTGAATAATGCTTCTGTAACTCCTCCATAAACTCTATTGCGAAGTT